GCCTACAGTATTTTTACAGTCTTTATTTTACAGTTAAAATATATGTTTGTCAAATAAAGTTTAATGTTACAACTAATCGTGGATCCCTTTGAAATAACCAGTTCTCCAGACACTACTAAATCATTGCATATCAGTATTTTAAAGTAAATTATTGTTTATTTTTCCTATTTATTTCACACATAAATGAAAAACTAAAGAAACAGGAAAGAATCAGTATTATTTTATCTAAGATAGTTATGAAGTGATCAAGTTCATGCCCTAACAGAGAGAAGTTTTTGTCATACACAGAACATTGAATGTTTTAAGCAGCCATTAAACAGTGTATTACTGTTTATACAGACGATTCACGGAAATTCATTTGTTTTTAATTAGCTGCGTATCACATTTGCCATCATGTCCTAACTGACCTTGGACTGAGTTTTTCCTGTTGCATGTGAGCCAAAATAGCCCAAACCTAATTCATCCATGAGCTCCTTTTCACTACCGTGTTATCTTTAGTCAGGCGATAATGAGGGGCCCGAGCTCGTGATTCACTATTTCCTAAGTCAGACGGACTCTAACAAAAACACAGCAACCTCGGCTTGTCCAAAGGCTGTGTCCATAATGACAGACACCATGCGTCTCTGACAGAAGATGTCAGGCAGTCACTCAGTCTTCAAAGTTTTACATTTAGCTAATGTGAATCCCGAGCGAGCCATTAGGGAAAACACTGGATGCAACACAAACCGCTAACTTCAACATCAGCTACCAAAAGCAGCGGCGACGTTTCTTCTGACTGCAAGGCGACGAGCGTGCCGCACTTTGCAAGATGAGGTGGTCGTGCAGCAACGGCAGGCTGTGACACTGACAGACAGGGTGTCACTTTTACATGTTTGCATAGCCATGTCCTGGCAATGGCAACACAAATACACACGGCTTCAAATAACACTGCAAAGTCTCCCCCAGGGGGGGGTCATGTGATTAGGTTTTCATTCTCTGTGATTGGACAACAGCTGCAATGAGGGAAAGGGGGCACGAGGGTCTTAGAGTGCCAGGAGAAACACACACAAGCATGCAGACATATTTACACACTCACACACACAAACACACACTAAGCTAATCCACATGAAGTAAATAGAGCCCGACTGCAAATGCTCTGGGCATGTCTCAGTTTCTCCAGTGGGTTTTAATCACTGCTCTCATGAGAGGAGATCCTTTGAGACTCAGCTCAGCTGTAGAGGAACACCGTAGAGCAGCCAAATTAGTTTAATTTATTGAAGAGACTCCAAACTCAAATAGCTAAACCATATAGGAGTTTAGTTTTGGTTCATTTATTTGTCCTAAAGCAAAGTACCAACGTAGCCTAGCGTGAATGCTTAATTATGACTTTTTTTGCAGAAAAAGAAATAAAAGATGCACAAAGTTTTTGCAATATGTTGTAAAATAGCCAAAACAAAAGCTGATAATATTATTAAAGTAGATTAAAAAAAGAAGCCGAAAAAGCTGAATCTAGCATAAAAATGCAGAACGAGCATGTTTGCTGAATTAATCAGTAAGTACAGTAGCTGGAATAATCACAAAAATGTGAATTTAAATTGCAGAAAAAAAGATGGAAGAAGCTGATAGAAGCATAAAAATTTGAATTAGCAGAATAAAAAAATAAAAGGCAGCTGAAAAAACAGAAAAAAGTTCAAATTAAACAAAAAAAAAATGAAGGAAGCCAAAATTATCTTAAAGAATTACAAAAAAAAAAAGGACAAAACCCAAACAAAAGTGCAGGAAAAGTTTAACTATTTTGAAGGATTTAAGCTCCATTCATTTTCAATAAGAACAAAAATAGCAGAAAAAGCTAAATATCTCAAAACTTTTAGATTGCTAAAATGCCAAAAGCCATATCTGGAATGTCCCAGAGGAGCTCAAAGTTTTGAGATATGAATTTCTGAACTAGTACAAAAATTGCAAAACGTGATGGGTGCTGTAAAACCTATGAAGACAAAAGCTCAATATAGTGGAGTGTGAAAGTTTGGCCAGTCTTGTTAATTTTCCTGATTTGTCTTTATAAATCATTAATTGTAACATCAGTAAAATATAGGGGACAAACACAGTGATATTTGAGAAGTGAAGGTTAGGGGTTAACCCCAACCAACACTAAGACCTCCGCCAATCATGGGTAGGGTCAACTCCGCGCACATCAAGACCTCTGCCAATCATGGGTAGGGTCAACTACGCCCACACTAAGACCTCCGCCAATCATGGGTAGGGTCAACTACACCCACACTAAAACCTCCACCAATCACAATTAGGGTCAAATATGCCCACATCAAGACCTCTGCCAATCACGGGTAGGGCCAACTCCGCCCACATCAAGACCTCCGCCAATCACGATTAGGGTCAAATATGCACACATCAAGACCTCTGCCAATCACGGGTAGGGCCAACTCCGCCCACATCAAGACCTCCGCCAATCACAGGTAGGGTCAATATGCCCACACTATGACCTCCACCAATAACGATTAGGGTCAAATACGCCCACACTATGACCTCCACCAATCACGATTACGGTCAAATATGCCCACATCAAAACCTTCACCAATCACAGGTAGGGTCATCTACACTCCACATCAAGACCTCTGCCAATCACAGGTAGGGTCAACTCCGCCCACATCAAGACCTCCGCCAATCACGATTAGGGTCAAATACACCCAAACTAAGACCTCCACCAATCACGATTAGGGTCAAATATGCCCACATCAAGACCTCTGCCAATCATGGGTAGGATCAACTCCGCCCACATCAAGACCTCTGCCAATCACAGGTAGGGTTAACTCCACCCTCATCAAGACCTCTGCCAATCACAGGTAGGGTCAACTCCACCCTCAAGACAACATGTTCTGCACCAGACCCCTACTTGGTCTCAATGGACACTGCAGCATAAACTTGTCTATCTAACGGAATATTAATCATCAGTTCTTATCAGAGACTTTTCTTGCCCTATATAGGGACAGTGAGGGCGACGAATTGGGGTCCCTATGAATCTAAGGGTGGGACATTTCACACCCGTCCCTAGTGCCATCTGTGTCCACTGGTTAAAGTAACTTGGGTAAGTTTATTCACCACATTTTAAATGTGTCTGCCCATTCTCGTTGTGGTGCTGGTCTTGTTCAGTCCTTCACTGTGTTTGGGTGTTTGGCATTAATTAAACCCATGGATGGTTAAGCCATCCTTTGGGCAGAAACAGCAGCTGACACTGAGCCTTCATGTATTCAGATTGAGTTTTTTGGGGGGAAGGGTGGGATGCACAGCGGCAAAGAGAGCAAAAAACAAAAAAGGAAAAGAGAGAAGAACATGTTTGCCTTGTCTGTCTACTAGTTTTCATCAATTCAACCAGCCTCATAATCTTCACACAGCATGAGCACACACACACATCCGTGCACGGAAGGTCTCTCTCTCACACACACACACACTTGCTCACACATGCTGGTGAATGGTGTTGAGAGACAAGTGGACAAGCAGAGTATTCTTCCTTCTATTCAGAGCAGCCCGTTAGAGACCGGTTGTTGCCCACAGCAACAACACTTTGCTGCGGATACGTACTGAATGTAAACATTCTCGGTCCCTCGCTATCTCATTGGTCAAGAACAAAACCTGATTATCGAAGTGACGGAGAGAGACAGATGGAGAAAGAGAGCCGGGTGTTGTAACAAAGTTTTCCGCTGCTCCCTCTGAGAGTTTTCTCGCTCAAAGACTCAATCGAACATCAGTTGTTTGTTTGGCTAGCCACTGAGGCGCCTCACAAAATAAACTGGCCTCGCACCACCACTCTGACACAAACTAGCTATTTCATGATGAACACACAAAGTGAGAATGACAGAGGGGGCACAGGCTCTTGACAGAACTGTTAAACCATCAAAATAGTGACAGCCATTAAAGCCACTTTGGTTTGGGGGGGTAACAGATCAGATGTTAAAAGTGTTTAACGGCTATGAGTCATAAAAAAAGGTGCTCGTTTCCTGTAAACCCACCACCACCACCCCACCTTGGAAGGCCTTGGTGTGACCGGCAATCAGGTACTTGAGCTCAAAGCTGTAGGAGCGCATCTTCTGCTGGGTCTCGCTGCGAACAGCTGACATGTAGCTGTCCTCCATCTTACTTGTGCAGCAGCTGGGACCAGAGTGGACACACACTTGAAGAGGCTCATCTAAAAGACAAGGAATAAATAAATAAAAACATTTTAAGCTATCTAAGAAAATAAAAACAGGAAACTTGTGCAATTGCCCGCAGTGACATTTATGCAGTAAGTTTTAAGGCTGGTTTATAAGTTGAGTAACTTCTGTCTGTTATCCACAGTGACATCCCACCCCCAGTCGTGGGCATTGCTCCCAGTTGGAACTTTGTCTTGCGGACCATGCGGCTGTGGAGCAGTACTTCTTTTTTGCAAGTTATTTTGTTGGACATTATACGTTCCCAGAATCTGGTATGATCCTATTGACCACGTGAACGTGCAACCAATGTTTACTGAGGTCTGAGGTCTTTTGGAATGTTCCTGAAGACCTTTTTTGACTCTGTGGTGGCATCAGCCATCTTCTATGGGGTGGTAAGTTGGAGCAGCAGTCTATCTGCTGCTGAGAGGGAGAGGCTAGATAAGCTCATCATGAAGGCCAGCTCTTTGCTGGGATGCCCCCTCGACCCAGTGCAGGTGGTGGGAGACAGAAGAACTCTGACTAAAATAACATAACTGATGAACAACGTCTCCCATCCCATACATGAAGCAGTGGCTGAACTGGAGAGCTCCTTCAGTGACAGACTGCTGCATCCGAGGTGCACAAAGGAGCGTTATCGCAGATCCTTCCTCCCAGCAGCTGTCAGACACTATAACCAGCACCACACCCAAAAATCACAATGTTTACAAAAACCACATTAAGTGTTTACATACCTGCTGCTGCCCGCACAATCATTTGTACTGCTATTATTCATTTATATTACTAATCTGAGCAGTTATTTGCTCTGTTATCACCCATTTTAACCATTAAAGGGGTCCAAGATTAGTTGTAACATTAGACTTTATTTAAACTTTTTTATTTCTATTTCTATTTTAAACTAAAAGTTTAAAAATATATTACACAGACGGGGCCATTTTATTTACACGCAAAGCATTCTGGGTAAATGATGACGTGGATAGGTTAGCGGTGCGAGGCTGCTAGCGAGCTATATCCACCCTGAAGGTTAATCTTGGACAATATCTGATGATCGACTCTTTTAAATGAAACCAGAGAGCGTTGACAGAGAGGAGAAGATAGAAACGACTCAGCCTGTAACTGAAAATATGGATGGAGGACAACAGAGCTGCTTCATGGAAGAAGAAACTCAGCTTAGCCTGTTAGCTTTAGCGTTAGCCCCGACGCTTTCATCATTTGTATGTATTAGTTCAGCGCTACACATTCTCCTCTCATCACTGAGGTCCTCCATCCACATGACAGAGAGGGGAACGCAAAAATGACTCAGCCTGCAACTGAAAATATGGATGGAGGACCTCAGTTTAGCTCATTTGTCGCGCTAGCGCTGAGCTAATACATAAGACAATATAGTGGTGGTGCTAGTGCGAAGGCTAACAGGCTAAGCTGAGGTTCTTCTTCCATGAAGCAGCTCTGTTGTCCTCCATCTATATTTTCAGTTCCAGGCTGTCATTTCTACCTTCTCCTCTCTGTCAACGCTCTCTGGTTTCATTTTAAAGAGTCGATCATCAGATATTGTACAAGATTAACCTTCAGGGTGGATATAGCTCGCTCACACCGAGGACCTACCCGCGTCATCATTTACCCAGAATGCTTTGCGTGTAAATAAAATGGCTCCGTCTGTGTTAAAATATACTTTTAAAAATTATAAAAACTAAACAGCCTACAGTATTTTACAGTCTTTATTTTACAGTTAAAATAAATGTTTATCAAATAAAGTCTAATGTTACAACTAATCAGGGATCCCTTTAAAATAATTCTGCTGATTTGCACCTCTGTGTCTCTTGTGTGCACTGTGATACTTTACAGTTAATAGTCTATTACGATTGTTTTGCACTGAAAATAGGCAAATTCTAAGTCAAATTCTGAGAGGTAACTACAGCCTCTAAAACAATCCTTGTCTTTTTTGTTCTTGCACAGTCCTTTATATTATATTTTTACTGTTAGTATCCTTGCTAGTTAGTGGTAATATTGTTTCTTGTGCATTGTCTATAGTTTGTAAACTAGTGTGTGAACCTCAGTACTGATGCTGCTGTGACACCTGAATTTCCCCTTGGTGGGACAATAAAGACTATTTCTATTCTATTCTATTCTATTCTATTCTATTCTATTCTATTCTATTCTATTCTATTCTATTCTATTCTACTCAACGACAAACTCCACTATCCTGCTATCAGTTTTTTTGAATGTTTAGCTATAGACTGTGCTGCACTGTGAGTGCTGTGTGAAGGCAGAGGGAGAGATTATGACAGTTTATCCCCCCTGCAGCGTCTTCAGCCGTCTATATTCTGACAGAAAAAGACGTCTGAAATGACGCGCCTATCCACTGTCTCAAGTTGTACTGAAGTATAAATCAAGCTTAACTTCCAACATTCACTGCACCATTGGTAAAACATGCTGCAATTGAGTTATTTTTTATGTATTTTTTAAACATCTAATTATAAGGAATAAAGAATCTTTATTGTTATTATGCGTTAGAACAACAAAATTTCTGTTTGGTGTTCTTGGCTCAGTATTTACAAAAGGTCTGTACAGTCTAAAACAAAAGAACTATAAAGTTTGCCTGAGGAAATACTTTAGATAATGTACAAAGCTTTGACACATAATATCAGCAGCTGTGTGCAACAGGGCTGCAACGATTAATCGATTAATCGACGACTAATCAATTATTAAGATAATCGATGACTAGTCTAATAACCGATTAATCGTTTTCTTTTTTTGTTGTTCTTTGCTTTGTTTTTCTCTCCAAACTGCTTTGACGCCTTCCACTGCCACATCTGCCTTTCTGTCCTTGACACACATGCACAGTAGTGGTAACTGGGGT